ATCTGTAAGCCTTCTTTGGAGAAACGTCTATTCAAGTTCCTTTGCTCCTTTTTCAATTGGGTTATTTGGTTTTTTGTTTGTTTCTTTTTTTACTATTGAGTTATAATAGTTCCTTTTATATTTTAGATATTAACCTCTTATCAGATAGATATATGGTTTGAAAATATTTTCTCCCATTCTATAGGTTGCCTCTTCATTTTGTTCACTGTTTCCTTTGCTACGCAGAAGCTTCTTCCTTTGATGTAGTCCCACTTGCATATTTTTGCTTTTGCTGCCTGCGCTTTTGGTGTCACATCCAAAACATCACTTCCAAGACTGATGTCAAGGAGGTTATTCCCTGTATTTTCTTATGGGAGTTTTACGGTTTTGGGTCTTATGTTAAAGTCTTTAATCCATTTTTGTGTAAGTTTAGGGTCCAATTTCATTCTTATGCGTGTGGATATTCAGTTTTCCCAACATCATTTATTGAAGAGACCGTTCCTTTCTCCATTGTGTATTCTTGGAGCCCCTGTTGAAAATTAGTTGACCACACATGAGGTTTTATTTCTGGGCTCTCTATTCTGTTCCATTGATCTATGAGTCTATTTTTGTGCAAGTACCACATTATTTTGATTACTTTAGCCTTGGAATACAGTTTGAAGTCAAGAAATGTGGCAACTTTAGCTTTGTTGTTCTTTCTCAAGATTGCTTTGGGGTTTGGGGGTATTTTGTGGTTCTATACAAACTTTAGGATTGTTTGTCCCATTTCTGTGAAAAACGCCATTAAAATTTTGATAGGGATTGTACTGAGCCTGTGGATTGCTTTGGGTAGTATGGATATTTTAACAATATTCTTCCAATCTCTGAACATTTTACAATATATCTTTCCATTTATTTATGCCTTCAGTTTCTTTCATCAGTGTTTCATAGTTTTCATTATACAGATCTTTCACCTCCTTGGTTAAATTTATTTCCAAATATTTAATTCTTTTTAATGCTACTATAATTAGAATTATTTTCTTAATTACTTTTTTGGATAGTCTGTTGTTAGTGTATAGAAATGCAACTGATTTTTTTTTTTAATTTGAGCTTGTATCCTGCAACTTTACTGAATTCATTTAATAGTCCTAAAAGTTTTTTGATGGTGTCTTTAGGATTTTCTACATATGAGATCATGTCATCAAACAGATCTTACTTCCTCCTTTTCAATTTGGATGCCTTTTATTTCTTTTTCTTGCCCAACTGCTATGGCTAGAATTTCCAGTACTATGCTGCACAGAAGTAGTGAGAGTGGGCATCTTGCTCTTGTTCCTGATCTTAGAGAAAGAGCTGTCAATATTTCACCATTGTATATGATGCTAGCTATGGGTTGGTCATACGTGGCATTTGTTGAGATACACTCCTTTTATACTTACTTTGTTGACAGCTTTTATAATGAAAGGATGATAAAGTTTGTAAACATATAAAGAAAATATTAACACAACTGAAGGGAGAAGTAGATAGCAATATAATAATAGCAGGAGAATCTAATACCCCACTTTCAACAATGGGTGTATCATCCAAACAACAAAGCAATAAAGACACACTGGACTTGAACTGCACTTTAAACCAGATGGACCTGACAGACATCTATAATAACAGAGGAATACACACTCTTCTCAAGCACACAAGAATATTCCCCAGGATAGATCGTACATCAGGTTATAAAACAAGTCTTAAAAATTTAACAAGATTGAGGGGTGCCTGGGTGGCTCAGGTGGTTAAGGATCCAGCTCTTGATTTCGACTCAGGTCATGATCTGAGGGTCGTGAGATTGAGCCCCTCACTGGGCTCCATGCTGGGTGTGGAGCCTGCTTAAGATTCTCTCCCCCCCTCTCTGTCCCTCACCCCCCTAACTTAACAAGATTGAAATTATTTCAAGTACAGTTTCTGATCCCAATGGTGTGAAACTTGAAACCCATAAGAACAAGAAAAGTGGAAAATTCACAAATCTGTAGAAATTAAACAACACATTTGTGAACAACCAAGAGGTCAAGGAAGAAATCAAAAGGTATCTTGATACAAACAAAAATAGAATACAACGTACAAAACCTAATGGGATGCAAAAATAATAGGATGCAACCAAAGCAGTTCTAAGAGGAATGTTTATAGCAATAAATGCCTGCATTAGAAGAAAGAAACATCTCAAATAAACAACCTAACTTTACAGCTCAAGGAACTAGAAAAAGAACATACTAAGCCCAAAGATAGCAGAAAGGAAATAACAAAGATTAAAAAAATAATAAATGAGACAAGAAAGACAATAAAGAAAGATAAATGAAACTAAATTGGTTTTTTGAAAAGATACACAAAATTGACAAACCTTTAGCTAGACTACCCAAGAGAAAAAGACGGATGGCTCAAATCAAATTACAAAGAAAGAAAGAAATTAAAACTGATACTAGAGAACTGACCGCTATACACACTTACACGCCAACAACTGGATGACCTAGAAGAAATGGATAAATTCCTGGAGACATACAACCTACCAAGACTGAATCACGATGAGACACATAATCTGAACAGACCAATCAGTGAGAAAGGAGACTGAATCAGTAATTAAAAACCTCCCAACAAATGAAAGTCCAGGACCAGATGGTTTCGCTGGTGAATTCTACCAAACATTTTAAGAAGAATTAATGCCAATCCTTCTCAAACTCTTCCCCAAAAACTGAAGGAGAAGGAACACTTCCAAACTCATTTTATGAGGCCAGCAATCCCTCAACATATCAAAACCAGACAAGGACACTATAAGAAAACTACGGGCCAATAGCCCTGATGAACAATGATGCAAAAATCCTTGACAAAATACTAGCAAACCAAATTCAACAGAACATTAAAACATCATACACCATGATTAGTAGTATTTACCTCCTGGAAGCAAGGATGGTTCAACATATGCAGATCAATCAACATGACACAACAAATTAACAGAATGAAGGATAAAAAAATCCTATGACCATCTCAGTCGATGCAGAAATAGCATTTGACAAAATTCAACACCCTTTTTCTTCCCAAAGATCCCAATATATTAGATCATGAAATGTCTTCCAAATAATCAAAGAAATACGAAATATTTAATTATGAGTGATAAATGTATTTTTATTTTCATTTTTAAATTGATACATGGACATTTCATCAGAAGACTAGGCTGCAGAGGTAACTACCTTACACAACAAGATTACAGAAACTTACTGCATTGGCTTTTCAAACATAAGAGAGACTGTACAAACTCAATGACTTACTTAAGCTTGCTAACGACTACAAATATTTTACTGACAAGCTGGAGTTCAGATGGGGGAAAACAATTTTCATGGAGGTCTACTCTTTTCGTCTAAGGGATGAGAAATTTATTTCAAAGTTATAAAAATAAGCAGCAAAGAAATGAAACTTCTAGAAGCAACACTGGTTTCAAATGAGCAGAAATGAAAGCAATAGAATGTTAACAGACAAAAAACACCATAAGTGGAATGAAACAAATCTATTTCTAAAGCTGGGGAATGAGGTTGTAGGTCCTACAAGAGCTGCATGGAAAGTAACTAGATATGCAAATGTTCTTCAGAAGGCCTTGCAGGAAGTAGTGAGGATGTTTCCAATGTAAAACCTACAAGTATTAAAACACCTGGAGACTGTATTCCTGTTTTGGTAAATACTAGATGGGATTTTAAGGTCAGACAAAGCCAGGAGCTCTGCATACTTGAGCTGTTAGGGTAATTCATCAGGTGCAATACGCAAACTGGACTGTGAATATGCTTAGGGCTTATTTTGTTTTTATAGACAGCAACAACTGGCCATGTCTTCTGGGGAGCACGTGTGAGCATTATCTGAGAGTGCTGGGAACCTCCAGAGCCACGGCGTGTGGTGCAGAACAGGCCACTAACTCAGGGTGTGTCTTCTAACCTCTGAATCTAGATTTCTTTCCATTATCGATACCCCATAGGTAGAGTTCAGTACAATTTTGGCCTTGAAATTACAAGTCTTAAATTATCTGAGAATTCTTCCATGAAACTTGGAGTATCTAGAACATTTTTAAAAAACAAGAGTCATTCAGTGCTCTGATAGAGCAAAAAATGAACCCCTCATTAGTGGCATCATAAATTAAGCTTCCTGACACTGAACGACTGCCTCCTCCCCCCACACCCCTACAGGCCTCCTGTCTGATGCCTGGTCTCTGTCGGCTGGGACCCAGGCCTGCCTCTCACGCACTGTTGTCAGGAACTCTGAGCTGGAGCCTGGCAAAAGTGAAATGGAAAGGAGGATTTGGCAGGAACAGACCTGTGGGCCACACACCATTATGATTCCCAGGCAGGGCCAGGCCCTCAACGCAGAGCCGGCTCTCCCGCCAGGAAGGTGAGAAGGCTGTTACTTCTTTTTCTGTATTTATAACTAGAAACAATTCTTGGAATACATAGGGCATCATGTCTCCAATCCTTACAATCTTTACAATCTAGTGTTAAATTTAAAAAAAGCAGGACAGAGTAAGATTCCAACTCACTAAAAAAAAAAAAAAAATCAACCACACCTTATAGACACAGATGGAGAAATGAGGGTGAAGACGTTAACAACTGTTTGGGGCCACAGAATCAGGCACAACCTCTGAAAATAAGTCAAGAGAGCACTTTTTTATAGGATACGAGGGAGAAGTCACCAAAAAGGATGATTTTCCTTTCCATGAAAAACTAGGTCTAGACCCCACAGGCCACTCTCTCCCCAAGGAAAACTGCAATGCTGTTCTGAGAGCTTCACTCTCAAGGGCGTCCCAGGGCTTTCAGGCCAGACTCCCCGTCCCCTTCTCTCCACATTTTGTCGAGAGGAAGCAAATTTATCTGCAAACCAAGTTAACTTAGCCCCATGTCAGGATTCAACATCTGAATTCTTTTGAAGTTTAGCAACTGATATGAAAGATTTGTTATAAAGACAGATGCTTTACTTCCATCTTTGATAAAACTGATTTATTCTGAGAATGTAAGTGGTGCACTTACCCAGAAGAGGATGAATATCTTCTCCAATGGTCAGGCTCATACTGTCTATTTCCTGCACCAAAGAGATATGAAAACCAAAACTAAGTTAATTGCATTTCTCTAAAATTCGAAGAGAAAAAACTGCACATTTCTAAGTACGTATAAAAACAACATGCTGAGTTGTATTTGGAGGACAGCACTTCATTCTCTTTTCTGTTGTGGCCACGGTCACTAGAAGTTTGTTGCACAATTACTCCACTAGAGTAGGAAGCAATTAATTAAGAGGTGGCTCTGTTGATAGAAGGAAGCAGTGTCCCAACTGCTCCTCCAAATGCCAGCTCCAACCACCTGCATGGTATCCAGACAGCCCCTGCTGCCAGCGGCACTGGGGAATGCATCCGCATATGCAGATGGCTCACGGAGGACACCTGGCCAAGGACGGAGAAAGCGATGTGTGGCTCTTTCTACAGCTGAGTGCAGAGGCCCCCGTCCCCGTGTAGCTGGCCACTTTTCACCTTCCGCTACACAGGGAATGTTGGGCGAGGACCAGAAGAGAGCCAACCTGCCAGTAAAATAGGTGGTTGTTTTCACATTCAGAAAATAACACTCTTCCTACAAAGCTTTCCGTGCTTCTGCTTGACTGATGCCCACGCCTCTCCCGCCGAGGGCAGCCTTTGTGGCCCAGCCGCTCCGGCAAGTGGGAGGCTGGCAGGGGCTCTGGCCAAGGGCTGGGTGGTGGGAGAGGGTCACAGCAAGGCCACAGCGAGGTTTCCAGGCCCCACCTTGTTACCACAGATGATCAGAGACAGTTTTACAACAGCCCAGGCCTCCTACAGAATTACTACCGACAAGTGAAAATCTGAAGAAATCACAGGCAAATGTGATTTGCTACTGACTGTGGAATTTAACACATCATTTCTCACCAACAGCACGGAGGAGGTTAAGATGTTCTCACTGTAGAGGCTTTGAAGTTCCCGGCCCCAGGGAGGCAGGGAGGTTGTCACCTCTGCTGGTCCTGGGTCCCCTCCCCAGTTCACAGGCCAGGAAGCACACGCTTCACAGGGAGGCTGGTGCCTCTGGCCTTTCCCTGCCTGGCCCGCGTGGGCCAGGCTCACAGGGGCGGCCGCGCCCGCCGCTGCTCCTCCTCCTCCCTCTTCCTATCCTCCCTCCTCACCAACTGTCTCACAGTGATTCAATACACTCATTCTGAGGCATTTTTAGTTTGACTTGAACAAAGAATTTTGTCTGTTAACTCTGTCCAGGAAGTACTGACAACTTTCTACTTAGACTACTTACATATCTCTAAAAAATACTAAAATAGGAGTTCAAAGGTGGACATAAGCCCGCAAACGTGTGTGGGCCAAGTAAAAATGATGTAATTCTATCACAGTGATGAAACTAAAAAAGTGGATTACCTGACCTTAAACAATGTTCCAGTTCTAATAAAAGATTCTGTGTGTGTGAACATGTATCTCATACAGAGATATCTGAAATTAGACAACATATTGGTACCGCCAATGAAACTTTTGTGAACATTTCTCCATGTGAGACAAAATGCAAATGACACATACTGTCCTTGCTTAACTACGGTCTTGCCGGAGACTTTTAATTTCTTGCACCTCCATGCCCAAACTCTTTTTTTTTTTCTTTTAATTTTTTGAGTGCAGCTGACATGATGTTCCATTAGTTCAGGTGGTCGACAAGTGGTTCCGCAAGTCTGTGCGTTCTGTGGTGCCCGCCATGGCCTAACTGCCATCTGCCGCCACACACACCTGACAACACCAGCGACTGCTCCCGAAGCCTGCATCCCCACCCCAAATTCTGAAACCTGATCCTAACTCAGCACTCACCACTGCAATTTTGCCTTTGACCTGAGGTCTCACAGGGCACGGGTTTCAGCCCCGAGCCCTCCTGCACCACCGTCCCATCTTCCGTGTGACCACCGTGGTCCTATCCCCCAAGGAGGGATTTCCTGCAAACCAGGACACCTGGGAAAGCGTCAGGCTCTGGCTGCTGCATCTGTTATGGTCTCCTTGCTTCTACATAACCAGAACAGAAGAGGGAAGACATGCTTCTCTAGGCCTCGCACCCGGTCTGACAAACATCCTAAGTGTTCCAAACGTTCCCTGAAATTCCGGGTGGTCATGTGCATGGGGGAACGCCTGGAGGCTCTGTCATCTGCTCAGGTCGGGTCACTGGTGAGCGGTGGGTCCTGCCTGTGAGAACCCACTGCAGCAAGCTTCCTCCGGGAAAGAGGAGATATATGAAGACACTTCCAACACTCACTGCTCTGACAGGCTCGAATTCAAGGACCCAGCGGGGCCACTGCACCTGGCTGGACTGGAACCCAGGACTCAAGAGCTGGCAGGACACCAAAGGCTGCCCAGGCTGGATGCTGATGACACGGCAGGGAGCACAGTCCACGGAGCATCTAAGGGGAAGCATGCACGCGTACATGTCGGCTGCATGCTCCACCACAGGCACACGTCCTAGCCACGGGCCACAGCTGATGTGCTCATCTCCCCGGAGACTCGTGGCCTCTCTCCCACCCGGGCTTAACCTGCAGCCCTCCTCACCCTGCCGGGCTTAACCTGCAGCCCTCCTCACCCTGAGGTTGTATTGTCTCAGGTTTCCTGAATTCCTGAGACCCAGCAGGAAGAAAAGGAGACAAGCCCAGGCCAGAGGGGATTAAGAGGAATGTCACCATTTCCCACACCAGCGACAGCAGGGACACTGGGAAGACTCTGTCGTCTGCTTAGAGGAAACACAGGGAGGACTATGCACGCCCTGTCATGCCAGGCTGCCTGGAAGATGTCCAGCATGCCTTCCCTCACGCTGCTTTCCTGAGCTAGGTGGGTGCCTTCTAATCCTCACCTAGAGGGGCCAGGGTCGCAGATGTCTGACACCGCAGCTTCAAGGGTGACAGGTCCCCAGGGTCCTGCTACTTAAACATACCTGGGATGGGATATCCGGACAGAGAGGGCTGGGACCCCACTCTGCTCCCAGCCCATCACATGCTTATATTTCAAACACAGGATTGGTACCTAAATTCAAACCCTGTTAGTATTACAAAATAGGAGCTTTGTATTGAAGGTGTGCAGGCTCTGAGCTCTACGGGGAGGGCTGGTGACTACGGGAATACCGACTCAGAACGGACACATGGAGTATCTTGTTTGGAGTGAACTCCAGGGCTCTGACCAATGTTGTGAGGCCCTGGAAGGTCTGCTCCTTTGCTGTCTGCCCAACTTTACCTCCCATGAGCCTCCCTCCCACTGACCCTTCCAGCCACACGCGGCTCGCTGGTGCCCTGCCTTCTGCACATGCCCCTCCCTTAGGCACCCCGAGGGCTGCCCTCTGAGATACCCACTCACTGTGTGGACGCGAGTCCACAGCAATGGCTGTCGCAGTCCGAGTCGAGGTAAGCTGACAAACCCTCTTGTGGCCTCTGGGTTCCCTGTTTGCAGTTTAGTTCAATAAACCGCAGCTCCTTCTACATTAAAAGCAATCTCAAAAATGCTTGAGGTGATGGGGAAGGGATTCGCCCTCAACTAATTTAGGCCTCTAGCATCAACACTCAGATCTGGGCGGAGTCACCGCGTGCCTATCCTGGACGAGGTGGGTGGGCGGGGGCGAGGGATGCTGCTCCGCCCCCTAGGTTGACCGTCGAGGAGCTTTAGGTGACAGTGGGTGTCAGGACTGGCTAGGTGGACTCTGTGGGGACACCTACAGCAGCTGTAAATCTTACAGCGCTCTTCTCTGTCCCCCAGGGTTGGGCATTAGAGTGGACCCCCAGATTTCTGCCAGAACAAGAGGCAACCGACCGGGAGAGGCTCAGATTCCCCTCAGCAACATCCCAAGTGGTGAGATGCAGTGGCCACCACACAGGCCGACGGAGACACGCAGCTTTGCTTAATGACAGAGACTCGCTGTGCTTTAGGGTAATAATGTGAGTACTCTGTGAAATCTCTACACATTTCAGAGCTTGCAAAAAACTAAATTAAATTAAAGGTTTGTTTGTATTTGCAAGGATAAAATTGTAAATTTAGGTAATATAAAAGTCTCTACAGTTGGGCTTTGAAAACGAAGGAATTTTGAATTTAAATACTGATGAGGTTTTCTCTGTATTTAAAATGTAAATTACTATGTATTAAATTCAGCTTTATGCATGAAAACCAGACATCTGTACTACACACCCAAGAAGTAAAGAATTCATTTTATTTCCTTGATCACCCAAAAGGGTCTTACGTATACAAGCCAAATCCCAGAACATATCAAAATGCTCTTTCTTCATTAAAGGGATGCATTGCATGAAATCTTTACAAGAGCCTTTCTTTAAGTAAATTATAAAAAAAAGGGTCTTGAACAGATGAATGAATTGACAGAAAACGAAGTGGCAAGGAGCAGAGATAGACCAGCATGGAGCTTGGAAATTCTGTCTCTACCTCACTCAGCAATGAAATGAGAGTATCAGCAGAAGCACGATGCCAAGACAACACCATCGTGAGCAGTTCATGGCTGCCGCCTCTTACCTGGTCCCTGGTCCCTCCAGTGCTGTCCTTGGCCTGCCCGGCTGTGCCCGGAGCTCGTCCTGTGGGAGCCAGATCCCTGCCTCCCCCACCTGCCTGTGGGGACACGTGATCAGCACGTTAGGAGGCTACCACATGCCTAACCCCAAGTGACACATTACATCTAAGAGGGTAGCAAGGCGGCACCAGGTCCACAGTTCTCGAGCTTCGGTTTCCTTAAATCACAGGGAAAGCCCATGAAAAATGTGGACTCAGGGGCCACAGCTGGGATGGGAGGTGGACGTCTGAATTTAAACATGTTCCCCCAGAGGACCCATGCAGGTGACAGACGAGCAGCCTGGCAGACGCTGGGCCAGAGCAGGGCCCTTGGTAGTCGGTTCTGACTGACCCTGCCTCCCGAGGGCAAGGGCCTGACTCTGCAGACCACCAGCGCTTGGGCTCTGGGTGAGCAGGGGTCCTGGGACTCTGAGAGCCAGACCATGGTGTGCCCTCCTCTCGATTCTCCACACACTTAACCACCCTGAAGTTTCCTCTCTGAAATTCCTGAGCTCTGACACCTTCTACCCCTTGTCTCGACTAGAATTTAACATGAGAAAGTCTGACTAAGCTCCTGCCGGCTGAAAGCAGCCTACATTCTGCTGCCTGCAGCTTCTGCTCAGGAACCCGAGGCACTGGGCATGCAGGACAGACCGCCAACCAGTTTGGGCAGAGGCAACAGAGGCAGAATGCTGCACATCTATTTTGCAAGGAATAAGCTCTTGCTTTGGGGTCTCAAATCCTGCCTATCCTCAGGTGGCAGGAGAAAACTAAAGGGTAGACAAAAGGGCAGGACAAGGCGGGAGTCTGTGACTCCTGGGAAGCAGGGAGGAAGCCCCTCTCCTACCCCCCAGACTCTCCTTCAGGCAGGCCCTAAACCTGGCACGTGACAATGACCTCACTGTCTCTCAGAATGAGACCTGCATGGCTGATGGCCAGCAGAGCCCCTGAAGACAGTCTGGGGGGTAGGAATCAGGGGGAGTTCTCTAACTCTGCCAAGGAGAGAGATGGAGCTGCTATAGTGAGAGGCACGGATCCTAACCGAAGGAGGACATGAAATAATTCAACTCATCAACCAGCTGATCTATAAGACAGCCAACTTCCCTAATAAAGAATCATCTGGTCGATAAGATACACTGTTTCATCTCACACGTTAGTTAAAACATACTGGTGAACGCAGCGGAAGCGCCTCATCACTGGTGAAGGCGTAGAGGTGAAGGTTTTTAGAAAACAAGTTGGCAACATTTATCTAAATTTGACTGCAGGTTGACCTATAGTTCGTAAGCTATGATGCTCTGTTTTAAGGAAATAATGTACATAAAATGGGAAAAAATGGAAGCCACTTCTGAGCTGGAGTACTAAGCGTATGTGCACCACTGTCGGAGGGGAGTATGGACAAGCAGGATGCACAATCGCACAGAAGATCATCACGATGAGATAAAAGCACAGAATAATAGTGCAAAAACGCATTAGCTGTCCACATTTGTGATCCTGACAGAATAAAGGTTATTTCTATTTCCTTTTAACTGTTTTCTTTCTGTGCTAAGTTTTATTACGAGAAGAAAGAGAGCCCACGGGGGCGTTCTGCGTCATGGGATGAGCAGGGGCGCCCTCTGGGAGACACCTTTCCTAAAGGGACCAGAACTGAAACTGCTAGGTAGCAGCAAGCGTGGTAAGTCTGCGTCGTATCCCAACCTCCCAGGCTGCTGCTGGAGTCCTGCACTGTAAGGCCAGCCCCGGCAGGGGTGGGGGCCCGCAATGCCCACCTGGCTGGTGTGAGCGCCAAAGCTGCCTGCTAATGATGCGTCTGTTCTCCTTCACACACGCCTTGCACACGACCGACTTCAGTGCATGGAACTTGGTCAGCCGGGACCTCTGCAAACAGAGCAGACGGCGTGAGCAGTGGCAGGCCTGTGGACACACTCAGGAGACACAACAGTGGCCACGGTGTCCAAGGACACTGGGTGAGCGTTTCCTTCAACACTGAAACTTAACAAGAGGTTCTCAGAAAACTGACATTCTCCTGAGTCCCCGGGGAAATAACACTAGTGCTACATCCCTTCTGGTCTTCTGTAGGTTAAACAGTCACTTCCAAAAGGTCTCCGAGTTCTGTGGTGACATCTGGGCCATGACCACACAGTCCTTCCAAACAAACCTGGGCCGGTCATCTGGGTCCTCAGCCCCTCAAGTGGTGACACCAGAAGCAGCAGCAGCGGGGCGAGGGGCGGACCTGCCCCTCCGGGCCACTTCATTTACTGCTGACACGTGGCCCCATCTGCCCGAACCTGCGGTCACCCTGTGCGTGGCCGGAACATCAGACACGGGGCCACAACTGGGGGTTTGCAGGTGGTGACTGCAGTCTGCTCTGCTCTGACCCTTCCCCACTCCCGAACATGGGGACAAGCCCGATCTGAGCAACACGCTCCCTCATGACCCTACCGCTGTCTGCACACAATACTAGCTGCTCCCAAATCCCAAAGGACGCCCTGGGTTTTTGTTTGGTTTTTGTTTCTCTCCAAATGTTTTCCGTCTGATGTGAAGCTCAGGATGCTTTATCCTCACGGATGGTGACTGTTCTGCGGGCCGCAGGGTCTCGCGCATACTTGCAGCTATTATAACATGCTCCAAGTGAGCTTGGCGGGAGCCCTCCTTGGAAACCTCCCAGGAATCATGGAGCCTGGACATCGCATAGCCAACATCCCCAGCTAAACCAGCAGCCTTCAAGGGATATTTTCAAGTAAATACATGGTTACTGTTCCTATTGAATTAGTCTGATGTCTGCAAAGGCACCTCTGGGGAAACATTCCTTCTTGATTCAAGAAGGGTAAGGGAGAGAAAGCACTTCAAGAGGGGGCCGCGGAGGACTGGGTGGGGTGCTCCCTGCCATCCCTCAGCAGGAGTTTGGGGACTCAAGCCCTATGGCAGTATTTTGGGAGAAGCTATGGGATATGCTGATGCTGAACCTTTCGGCCTCCCAACCCATGTTTCTGCCTTCCTGGAATAATGCAACCCTCTATCAAAAGAGCAGTAATTCCAACCATGTAATCAACAGTGAGTGTAAACTGGGTAAAATTTCAAAGTCTGGGAACATGTCTGTCCTCCACTGGGACGTTTCTGGGAGGCATGTTTGCTGGGACAGAGAGAACTCATGTCTGGCCAAGGACTCTGAGCATTAGGATGCATTTGAGCACCTGACCTCAAACCTACTGTTTCTGAATGTGAAGAAACTGTGAACTCACATTTTGTTCCACGAGAGCCTCCACGGTATACCCCCTCTCCGCCTGCAGGTACTTCTGATGAAACAGCTTCCCGTCAAATACATTCCAGGGCATGAAGTCGCTCATCCTCCAGGGGAAGCCGCACGCGCTGTTGACCAGGACCAGAGTGGTGAGGCCGCGGACCAGGAGGGAGCCAAGCTGCACAGCTCGGGGGTCGATGTAATCAGGCTGTGGGGTGCAGACAGAGAATGGAAAGGAGCAGTCATGCACATGGGGACGCAGACACGCTGTACCTCAGGGCGACATGGCAGCCACCTGGTGCCGTGCCCACCAGCCCCCATGGGGAGCCCCGCTGGTCACAGGGACATGAGGGCAGCTGCATCACGAGTATGCACGCTCATGTGCACACCCACTGTGCACACCCCAGACATCTGCCCAGGCCTGTGTGTACAACTCAGAACTGCCCCTTCACATGTCAAAGCTGCAGTCCACCAGGAAAACATTGCAAGCTCATCTGCTTCGGGTGTACTCGGAAAAACTTCCTTTAAAAGCAAAGCAAAGGAAGAGAAGCCAAGAGAGCACCGTCTGAGATACTGATGAGCTCACTGTATTCTTAAAAAGCACATTCAGTTGTTCTAATTAAAGTATTAATTATCTCATAGGGCTGATGAGTGGATAGCTTTTTACAAATTAAGTCATACAAATATAAAGTATTTCTTTTTGTTGTCAAATCTACCCTGACATTACACATTCTCACTGTGCATGGACAGAGCCACGTCCGCTTCTGGGGCCCATGCTGACTGCACACACGTGAATGGATAACCTAGCACGTGTCCACCGAATCTCTCGGTGTCTGGTTGACCAACGTGGCTCAAATTAAATAGTGGCTATTTTATTTATTTTTTTATTTGACAGAGAGAGACACAGCAAGAGAGGGAACACAAGCAGGGGGAGTGGGAGAAGGAGAAGCAGGCTTCCCACTGAGCAGGGAGCCCGACGCGGGGCTCGATCCCAGGACCCCAGGATCACGACCTGAGCCGAAGGCAGATGCCTAACGACTGAGCCACCCAGGCGCCCCTAAATAGTGGCTATTTTAAATATCACTGCATACCCAATATAGTTTACAAAACCAAAATAAACTGTGAAAGAAGTCACAGACGTTTTATCCCCTTTATTAAGTAAGGGTTCACTTCACTTAAAATAAAACTGATCATCATTTTAAGAAAATTATCATGAACTGTGATTACCCCAGAGTTAATCTAAGGTTTTGGGTTTTTTTTTTATTAAAGATTTTACTTACTTAGAGAGCTCGAGAGAGCATGAGCAGGGGGAGTGGCAGGCAGAGGGAGAATCAGGCTTCCTGCTGAGCAGGAAGCCTGACGCGGGACTCGATCCCAGGACCCTGGGATTATGACCTGAGCCGAAGGCAGACGCTTCACTGACTGAGCCCCCCAGGCGCCCCACTCTTAAGGTTTAATGAAAGTGTGTTTGTTGTACAGCACAGCTTTTATACTGTCCTAAAAAGGGCAACCACGAACAGGTTTGTGAGGCCGAGGGCACGCTGATTAATGAGAAGTAGATGTCCTCACTCCTTCTGCTCTGCAGGGACCTGCAGGTGAGGCCTGTGCTGGCCGCTGCCCATCATGCTACGTGCCCCACCTCCGGCCCTGCAGCACTCTCCGCCACCTCACTGTGCATCGAGCTCTTGCACTTCCCCAACTACACACGTGCTGTCTGTCTGGAACTGCACCGTCTTAGGGCTCGGGGTCACGCGTGGCTCAGCCCTCCTGTCTGGACAATGCACCACGGGATAACTTGACTCTAGAAGGTCCCATCTTCTCTACCTCCTCCTTGCAAACCTCCAGCAGCCCTGAGCTTCCCCACCCCGGCCCCATCACCGTGGGCCCTCGCCCCAGCACTCAGACCACGGTGACTACTCGGTGTCAGACCAGCCTGTGGGAAAGGCGCCCTGATACAGATGTGAGGTATTTTTTCCGCGTGCTGGGGGCACGTCTCCAATTTGGTAGGTTTTTCTGTAATGGAATCAATTCTTGTTCAGGTCTTGTGTTCATCCCTTCTATCCCTGTTTTAAAGTAAATTACAAAGGAGGTATGCCAGCCCCAAAGCATGGATCCCATGTGTACCACGTGAATTTTCACAAAACGTGCAACCACCACTTAGACCACAAAGCACATGCTGCTAGCATCACAGAAGCCCCTGCTGGCCTCCCTGTCACCCTCACTGCCCCCGAAAAGTAAGCTCTAGCCACTCCAACCGTAGCTGGTTTTCCACGCTTGTGAATCTACAAGAACCAGTCAGGCGGTATATGTACTGCTGTCTCCGGGCTTCTTCTGGGGACACTCCTCGTGAGGCTCGCCACACCGTGAGCGGCAGGGCTGTCCCCACTGTCCCAGCGCACGCACCACACACGGGCTTTCCACAGGGAATGCTGGGATTCTCCGCGGGACTCTGGGGATCACGGACACCTTTAAATGGGGAGCCTTCTTTAAGTTAGATTCCTTCAGAAATGTCGTGCCTGTCAATGGAGAGATTCTGTATAGATTTTTGTCTTTTGCTGTTTCATGTTCTTTCTTTGCTGTTAGTGTAAACATAAAAAAAACTGTGGGGTTATTTTTACTTGCTATTGTTTTATAGAATACATTTGGGTGTGTATATGCTGACTTTGTATCTAGCACCTGTTGAGTCTGGTTACTAATTCTAAGGGCTGTGCTCTGTAGGTATGATTTTCCATTTATACAATCATGCCATCTGTCAATTATGATGATTTTTATTTCTTCTAAACCCTACACCTTATATTTCTTTCCTCAGACTGCTCTTCTTGCCAAGGCTCCCGGTTTAACAGAAGTGCTGAAAGAAGGTACCCTGGACTCACTCCCACTAGGGGAAAATCTTTCAATATTTCACCGTTAAGTATAATTTCTGCTGTAGATTTTAATCTTTGCTACATTAAGGAAGCTGCCTTCTAATCTGAGTTTACTGAGAGTTTTTATCATGAACAAGTACTGAATTTAACCAGAGTTTTTCTGCACCCATTAACAAAAACATATGCTTTTTCTTATTTATTGTGTTAGAGTGAATCTACTGGTTTTCAAATGTTAAATCAACTTTCTATCAATTTTATGTATTGCCAGATTCAATCTGTTAATTTTTGTCTGGAAGTTCTGTATTTATTTTCATGAAACAGAATGGCCTCTAATTTTCATGTGTTCTCATGTCTTTGGTACCAAGGTTTTGCTGGATTTGTTAAGACAAGCTGGATTAATAACCCTGATGCTGCTTCTTCCTGAGATTTAGGGATGTTGGCCAGGAGCCATCGGGATTTGCATTTTCCTTCAGAGTCAATGTCTTCAGCAGATTTAGAACTGTTTAGATTCTCTATCTTCTCATTTCAGTCTTACTATGTTGTGTTTTTCAAGGAATATGTTCATTTTACCTAACCATCCAAATTTACTGGTATAGTGTTGTTCCTAATATCCTCTGATTATCTCTCTCTTTTTAAAAAAGTTTTTTTTTTTTTAAGATTTTATTTATTTAACTGACAGAGACACAGCAAGAGAAGGAACATAAGCAGGGGGAGTGGGAGAGGCAGAAGCAGGCTTCCCGCTGAGCAGGGAGCCCGAAGCGGGGCTTGATCCCAGGACCCTGGGACCATGACCTGAGCCGAAGGCAGACGCTTAACGACTGAGCCACCCAGGCGCTTCTAAAAAAGATTTTTCTTTTTTTTAGAGAGTGAGCGAGCAAATGAGTGGGGAGAAGGGCAGAGGGTGAGGGAGAATCTCAAGCAGTCTCCATGCTGACTTCTCTCACCATGACCTGAGCCAAAACCAAGAGTCGGACACTTAACCGACTCAGCCACGCAGGAGAGTTAATATGCTAGGCTTTGCTGGCCTTGTACAGTCTCTGTTGAATGTTCTTCTTTTTTAGGAACAACACTTTAAAAATATAAAAACCATTCTTAGCTTGCAGTACAAAAATAGACTGTGGGCTGGATTTGGCCCACAGGGCCATTGTGTGCTGAGCCCTGTTCTCCAATCTGCCACTGTAGTGTTTCTCTTTGCCATCCTGCCAATCTTTGTTTCAAATATATCTGAAGCTGCCCATGCAAACTGACCCAGTTAGAGAGTCATTGACATGGACCTGGTGCTGACCATCATCATCTCTCTAGTAAGGATCCCCACTCGAAGTCCACTTTTTCTCATCTAGTCACACCAGTTCCTTAGGGTGAGTGCACAGTTCACCTTTGTCCTCATCTTCCAGCATCTTGGTGTCCCTCCATCTTGGACGTGTGTCTCGTAGGCAGCACATGGTTGGTTTAGGATTTTCATTTTGCAATGACAACAGATTCACAGGAAGCTGCAGAGGTTGCATGGAAGGTCCCACAGATGCACCCTCACATCCCGTGGTGCTAACATCCTACATTCCACAGTGCAGCATCCAGACCAGGAGATGGGTCCTTCCACACGCACGGACGCGTGTGACGTCACACACACCATCTGAGTCACCACCACCACCGCCGTCAGATACGGAGCCTCCCTCGTGCATCAAGACCAGGAGATGGGTCCTTCCACACGCACGGACGCGTGTGACGTCACACACACCATCTGAGTCACCACCACCACCGCCGTCAGGTACGGAGCCTCCCTCGTGCATCAAGACCAGGAGATGGGTCCTTCCACACGCACGGACGCGTGTGACGTCACAACACCATCTGAGTCACCACCACCACCGCCGTCAGATATGGAGCCTCCCTTGTGCAGAGCCCTGCCCTGCCCCATCCTCCCTCTCTCCAGCCATGGCATTCTGAGAGTGTAGCCCTGTGGGGACCGGCTTCCTCATTCAGTACAACCCCCGGAGATCTGCTCATGCTGTGGTGTGTGTCGGGCCCTCCCTCTCATGGCTGGCCCCACCCCACAGTGTGGACGGGCCAGCTGGTGTGAGCGTTTGCCCAGTTAAAGACATTGTTCCTGTTCCCAGCTCCTGCTGTCACACGTGCAGCTGCTGGGAATGCTCACGTCCAGATCTGGGGTGAGCAGAAGTCTTCACTTCCGCGGGACAAAGGCCCAGGAGGGTCGGGACTGTTGAGGCATGCGGTAAGTGCATGCTTAGCTTCCTAGGGAGCTGACGCACCTAGCCAAAGCGTTCCCACCACCGTGTAGGAGACTCGTCTGCAAGTACCCATTCCCCTCGAGGGGGCTTGCCGCTGTCACGGGGTGCGGTTTGGGCTGTTCTGCACCCGGCCCCTCACCGCAGCTTTAATGAACGCTGAACAACCTTCCACATGCTTGTTTGCCAGGCAAACATCTTTCTCAGTGAAATGTCTATTTACGTCTTTTGCCCACTTTTTAAGTGGACTGTTTGGTTTTTACTACTGAGTTTTGAGACTCCTTCTATTTTCTCCTTACAAGACCTTTGTCAGACATGTGTTGGCAAATATTTTCTCCCATTCAGTAGCTTGTTATTTCCTCATTTTTACAGACCAAATGTTTTTAATTTTGATGAAGTCCAACTTATTACTTTTTTTCTTTTATGGATTATGGTTTTGATGTGAAGCCTAAGAACCCTTTACCTAGCCCTAGATTCCAAATTTTCTATTTTTTACTCAAAAGTTCTATAGTGGTACATTTTGCGTTTAGCTCGGTGTTCTACTTAAGTTAATCTTTTGCGTGAATGGCGAGGTTAAGGTCACGACTCCTTTTCTGTCTGCGATTTTGCAAACTGCTCCAGTACCACCTGCTGACAAGACTTCTGTGCTTCATCAAAACTGGGCGGCGGGACCCGTGGGGTTCTCTGTTCAGTCCCAGCGGCGTGTGTCTGACCCTCGGCCAACCCACAGCCTTGGTTAGTGTAGTTCCATGACAAGCTGTGTTATCAGCCATGTTAACAAACAAGCATCATTCCTCCCATGCTACTCTTTCTTTTCAGAACTGTTTTGGCTATATTAGACTACTTTCTGCTCTTCCATATAAATTTTAGAATAATCTTGTCATATCAGTAATAACCAAAAATCCATGCTGGGATTTTGCTAGGAATTGTCCATCAGTTTGGAGAGAAGGGACCTCTCCACTGTGTAGAGACTTGGGAGTCTGTGAGCACGGTGTGTCTGTCTGTCCAGGAACTCAAGCTTCTTCTGACTTCCTTCCCCAGGACTTTGTAATTCTCGGCACACAGATACTATACCTGTCTGTTAGGTTATACCTCGGTAATTCATTTTTGTGGAACAATTTTAGTGGCGTTATCCTTTAAACTTTCGTATATAGAGATGCAATTGTGGTCTTTTTGTTTTTATGTTGATCTTCAGCCTGAGATCTTGCTGAACCCTTACTAGCTCTAGGAGTTTTGTGATGGATTCCTTGGGATTCTCTGTGATTCTAGAGAATCATGTCATCTGCAAACTGGGACCGTCTTTCTGTCCCTCGGTGATCTGCATGCCTTTTAGTTCCTTTCCCTGCGTCAGTGCACAGGCCACACCTGCTGGCTCCATGCTCTCGAGAGGGATGGTGCAAGCAGACATCCTGGCCTTAGTCCCCGCCTCAGGGGGAGGCATGCAGCCTTTCTCTGGTATGCATGATGTCAGCTGCAGGGGATTTTGGAGATATTCTTTATCGAGCTGGAGAAGGCCCCTTCTATTCTTATTCTTCGAGGTTTTATCACGAATGGGTACTGAATTTTGTGAAATGTCTTTTTCTGAATACTTGATATGATGTGATTTTTCCTCATTAGCCGATGAGAGAATTACACACACAGGTTTTTGAATTCTGAATCAGCCATGCATCCCAGCAATGAACAATCCCACTTGGTCATGGTGTACACTTCTTTTTACATACTGCTTGGTTTGATCTGCTAACATTTTGTTAAGGATTTCTATATCTATGTTCATAAGGGACACTGGCCTGACATGTTCTTTTTTTTGTAATTCATTTATGTGGTTTTGGTATCAGGGTAATACTGGTCTCATCTTCTAATATTTTCTGGAAGATAATGCGTAGAATTGGCATTAATTCTTTGAATGCTGATAAATGATCCAGGGAAACCAATTGGGTTACGGGTGTATTCTGGAGAGTTTTAAAAACTATGAACGAAACTTCCTTAACGTCTAAAGTCTATTAGATAATGGGTGGATTGCAGCCACTTGTGCTTTGGGGGGATCTAGTCCACCACATCTAAGTGGCTGAATTTGTGTATGTGCAAAGTCGCCTGGAACGTTCCCTTGACCCTTGTGCTCTTGACAGGGTCTGTGGCAACACCTGTCTACTCCTGACTGTGGCCAATTACGTTTTCTCCTTTCTTACCAGGCAAATACGCTGGAGCAAAAGTGGTGCCCAATGCTCGGCTAACCTTCCCGGACTTCGGTTTTCTACAGTCTTGACGCGGTAATTCTTTACGACCCTTTTAGCCATCTGATTCTTTCAGACTTAAATTTTTTTAAACATATTTTTTAGGTTTTCTCTTTGTTTTCAACATGAAAATCCATCCGACTACCTCAGTCTCTCACTCCTGAAGGCAGCCCCAGCACACTTTGTCTCCTCGGCCAGGGGTCTCAACATTTTCATATCGTAAATATTTTTGGCAGTCTGGTGAAACCTATGGATTCTTTCTCTATGTATTCCTTAAATACATACAATAAAATAATAGGCTTATAAAAGAATTAATTATAACAAAGTACAGTTTAAAAAAAAACATATTTATGACATAGGAATTTACCCACTTCTTTGTATATCTTTAATAATAGAGCAGCGGGTGTAGTAACTAATCTGGAGACAAGGATGACAGGAAAGGACACGCACGGACCTCTCCAACTGTAAGGGGACATCGGGTCCTCCACGATCCCTATTGGTGACACAGCCGCAGATGCTGCTATTATTACTAGGATTTGTGGACTCTGTTGTAAAGGAAAGGATGAGTTTCAGTTAGAAGTTGGTGAAAATAAAGATGTATTTTTTCCTGTTCCAGTTCATACACTCTCATTTCAAGAATCCTTGCAATTATATCCCACGTACAGCAGCAATTCTGGGCATGACAAAAATAAACATGCGCGGTGGCAGGTGAGCACTTTAAATAGACAGGCCACAACCCTGAGACCAGCACTTGCTTTCCTTATACTCACACAGTCTTTGCGGGAGCGTTTGCAAAGTGTGTTCATTGAGGGTACTCCCACCAACAGACATGGGCACTTTTGGAACCTCTAGCACAGTTTTAATTATCAGGCGCTAAAAATAAACTCTAAACCAAGAAAAACACAATAAACCAGAAATAAAGTCAGTGTCTTGAAGGGCTGGGTGTGTAGATAATTTCACTTCTCAAACATCACTTCCCTTTGGATTCCAACTTTCGAGGTTAACTGCTCTGTTCTCAGGGCTTTCTCTGCTGCCCAGAAAGGGCCATGCCCTCTGGCGTGAGGGCTCAGGAAATGCCACGTGAGCCCAGAGAGACGGCGCACACAGCAGGCAGTACTGAAGGAGGAAACTTCCTTCTCCTCCCTGGGGTGCCCACAGCCACACTGTCCCCCTTTGAACAGCCCCTGTCCCTCTCCCTCCCACGTTCCCGGGACATCCCTCCAGGCCCCACCGACGGGAGGGGTGTCTCACAATCTCTGGCCTCAGCACTGCCCCCCCTACTCTTCAGAAGCTGCTCTAGGTTCAAGTCCAGCATGCATGTCCTCATCCTTTCTCCAGACGGCCCCCTGTGCTTGGGCGCTCTGCCCCCTGCGCAGCTGTCTTTTCTCCAAGCTCTCTGCCATTCTTCATGAGGGTGTTCTCAGGACTCCTAGCTGACTTCCTTTTGCTACAATCCCAATGGGCTCATGTTTCCCAAATCCACCTCCAATGCCAACTCTCCCCAAGCTTCTGGCTTGTAGGTCCCACTGTCCAGACGCACATCGCACACGGGACCCTCCCCAAACTGAGCTCTTTATGTCTCACCTCGGACACCCAAACTAGGAAGATGGGATCCCCACACCTGGGTCCTCCACCTCAGCCTGTAAGGGTTCCCTAAGCCCCACCAAGCCTGCCTCCTGGACACGTCTCACCTTCCTGCGGCAGTCCCCGCACCCTTGTGCTAGGCCCCTCGCCAGACCCAGTCCGTCCCCACCCGTGACCTGTTTGGACCAGCACATGTGGCCCTCGGAGGGCTGCCTGTCACTCTGCTGCCAGAGCCCCCCCACGCACACATGCAGGGGAGTCCCAGCTGTGACCAGAGCCACCTCTTCAGTCTCTAAGCTGCACAATTAACCCAGCTAATTTCTTTGCTCCCTTCTGAGGCACTCCTGTCCTTACCCTATTCTCACCTCGGTTCCATCGAAAGCCAGCCTAGGGGCAAATGCCTAGAGGAGAAGGGGACAGGAATGCCCTCCCACCCCAGGAGGCCTGCTCACCACAGTCCCACTCCCGCTGAACCCACCCTCCTGGGACCACCTCCTTCCCTTCCCTGAGCCCCCAAGACAGGTCTGACAGAGTCAGCGTTCTGATTGCTACTGAATGAGTGAGTTTGCTGCTTAAACACCAGAACATCATGTACGGTATATTTACTTCTCCATCAACCGCTGATGCCCTCCAAATGGATGGGCAGAGGCTCTCTATTAGGGGAATGGGTTGACTCCACGTCACAGCATGATGCTTATGTTCAAGGACACAATCACGGCCTTCCTGTGTACGTGCCCTGTGACACAGGGCAAGCTGTGAGTCCACACACGCCGGAGACCACAGTACGCCCAGGCCGAGGCGGCACGCTGTTAAGACCAGCGCACACCCCTGACAGCTGTGCCAGCTGCCCTCCTAGAATCATCTAGAACCATCCAGAATCTAGACCCTGCTGTCCATTTGTGTGCACGTGGTGAGCGCTCCACAGCGAGCTCCTGTTTGGCGTGATGCTGAAATAGCAAACTCCAAGCCGGGACACTGCTCACAAAAATGGCCATGCAGTGGACAGGCTCCACACTAACAGCTTAACCGCAGCTCAGGAGCGGCCCAGGTGCCGCAGCTGCTGCAGGAAGAGCCAAAGCTGGGAGTCCGCCGTTCCAGCCAAGGGACCGTGAGCCATCGTGTACCTTCTGCGGGGCTCAGTGGTCTCGCCGGGTGCTCACGACTTGCACATGCACTGCGAACATGTAGGTCCCGCCCTCAAGGAACTGAAGTATACGGAATAAAGACAGACTTTACACCAGAACATGACCTACTCACGTCCTCCAAAAGCCCTTCACAAGCAAAGCTCTCTAACTGCTTGAAAATATTAAGTCACGATGTGCTGCAAGGACAGAGTAAAGGAAAGGTAAGACAGCGCTGTCAGCAGAGCTCCTCCCAGAGACAGCTCGGTCCCGCTGTCCAGACACACGGCACTATGCACTGAGGGATGGGAACCAGAACGTTTGCTCTTGAAAAATAACCAGCCCTAAATGACATCAGAATGTGCTGAACTCAGAGTCGGGCATTTTTTTTAAGTGAAAACGAAACCTCAGCTACGAACACTGTCCCCAGTGGCCCTGTCAGTGACAGCTGGGACCTGTGAGCTCCTGGTGGTGCCACTGAGGAAATGCGTCCCACCTCGGGCAAAGTGAGTAGCTGGAATGGAGCCCCTGGGGGCCCCCCTGGTTCACCCCACTTCCTCCATATACTGACTTCGTCCTTTAGGCTCAGGTGAGCTACATTGGTCATGCTGTGCCCCATCTCACAGCTTCCAAGTAACTCACCCTTCACTGCCCCACCCGGAGAAGTGAACATGTAACCACGCCAAAGCAGGTGAAACCACCAACGCAGGACTCTGGTCTCAAGCCCAGTTATACTGTCCTGCGGTCACAGGATGGACTGACATCGCCAGTGCTTTAGGGAACTTTTAGTTCAAGAGACTGTGGGGCCATTAATTCAGTTTCCTAAACATGGCTTTCTTCTCCCCCCACCCCCCAACTCCACCATGCACGCTTTCTCTCTCCTCTCTTTTTTTTTTTTTTGGAAGGGAGGGAGGGGCAGAGGGAGACAGAGAATCCCAAGCAGACTCCACACTCAGCATGGAGCCCAACACAGGGCTCGATCTCATGACCCCAAGACCATGACCTGAGCCAAAATCAAGAGTCGGACGTCCAACTGACGGAGTCACCCAGGCACCGCCCCCCCACCCTGCCCTCCCCGGCTCTAAATATAAGCAAGGGTAGAAAACCCCGGGAGATCAAGGGGCACACAGCACCTGGAGGTACAGGTAGTGGGGTGCTGGGGCCTGAGACCCTTGGCTAGTTCACTCGACTGGGCGACCACCACATGCAGTCCTAGCAATGTGCTCATGTCGGGGGCACCTGGCACGTCCGTGGTGTTTTCCCTGCACTTCTCTGTGTCCGGGAGACAGAAAATAGTATTTCTCAGCCATGTCCGCCTTGTGATTTTACTTTTCTAATTATAACGTTAAGGTTTCAGAGAACAGACCATACCTTTCCTCCTTGACAAGTCTGTTAAGGAAGAGGGTTATACCAGGCTGGCTGAAGACACTCGGAAAACAGAGCGGAGAGACTGGGGCTTGTGGAAGCTTGATGACCAAGATCAATTCCCCTGTCACTCAGTAAACAGAGAAAACCAAAAATTTATGCTAACTGGGTTCAGCGGAAAGCAGAGCATGTTCACAGGCTGTAGGACTGACAGCTGAAGCTCTGAGATTATCTTCCAGCAAGAGAAATTCGATAGCAGCTGTTCTTCTCCCCCAAAGAAGTGGCACTGAGGGGACACCCGGGGGACCCCCAGTTGGCATGGCAGAAGGCTGGGAGTCACCGGTGAGCACGGACCAGTTCCATGAGGCTAACAGGTGCAGCTTTACCAAAGACAAGCAACCCATATTTTAGAAATAGTTAGGTGCTTTGGAATCAAGACAGGGAAGAGCCGAGCCCTGCAAGATTCCTGCCCATGTGATGAAGCATCTGATGGGGACTCAGAAACTGGAAAAACCAGTTCCAGTGTTCCAAAGCTTCACAGGAAATACTGAACAGTAAACAGCTCAACTGAATGGTGTTCCTCTTATGCCAATGAAGGTCCATTAACTGGGGCTTATTGGCAGTTATGCAAAATGCACTTAAATGGAACAAAAACTACCATTCTTGGCAAGCTGCAGCCCTTGAGCCAACTTAAACTCAGCTTCAGCTAGGGCTTCACCAGGGCGACTGTCCCATGAGCACCTGAAATCCCAAACAGGGTGAGGAGAGCACTAGTAAACAAAACAACAAGAAACGGAAGTTTGGAGGTCAGATTTCAGAGGTCTACGCTCATTGGTAAGGTCCCCTGGTTGCAGTGAGGCAGAATCGTACAAAGTAACCCTCAGGGGCACTGCGTGAACCTCGACAGGCAGGTGCAGGATCCACTCACGCCCAGCTGTTCCTCGGCCCTCCTGAGTTGGGACAGTTGGCGGGTCCTGGAAACACGGCCAGGTCTGCCTGACCCACGCGGGAGCCTCTGAGAACCCAGAGGAGGTTCAGTGTGTCAGGCTTGTCACTGTGCGTGGTGAACCCTGTCACCAAGGCCCCTCACTGTGCACACGGTGGGGCTCTGAAAACAGTTGTTGACTATACACTTGAAACTATAGTTATGGTTCAATAAAGAAATAAAAATAGTTGTTGAGTTTACATGTAAACAAATGACGATACGTCGAGACTGCATGCTTCCCCCAACGCACAGGGCAGGGGTGGGAAGAATGAACGCTGTGCTGGGGACAACGGCAGGGCCAACCCTTCCACGGTGCCTGTCTTGAGACACCACGTACATTCACATCCAGGGCCACGTTCGTGTCCCATCACTGTGTGAAAGGTGCTCTTCGGATATGGACAGACATCTGCACAGAGG